AAGAGCCATCAGACCACCACAGATGGGGCCGATGCCGATTCGGAGTCGCGGAGAACCTAACGGGTAACCGGGGCTCCGGCTCGACGTGCAGGAGAAGGAACGGGGTGGTTTTTAGTCAGTAAGAGTCTGACACTATGGCGGGAACAGTCATTCGATGATTTACCCCCTTAAAAAAAACCTTTTTTAAATCATAGTAGCTAATTAACCTTTTATATGAGAATAGATAACCTTGCTCATGAAATAACATGAAAAAAATCTTAGCATTAATTTATAAGCGTTTCATTCAATGCAGTGTGAAATCATACAGCACAATACTATTGCAATTAATATTTTATTTTACAGTCAACCCTACCACACATGTGTAACTATGCGTTCCTATTCGACGTTCAATGTAAATCATTGTTATTAAAAATAGATCAACAGTTACAAATGCAGATAGCAATCAGTAGAGCAGCCACCCAAATGTTCACACGGTTATTCATGGATCCTACATATGAGTACCAAAGAGATCAGTTTCTTAACCTAACGGTTTCCAGGAACCATATTGTAAGAGACACTATGACGCAAATCAGTAGTCATGAAACTTCACAGTTAAAGAAACCGCTAAGAGTAAGTATTTTTAATGATTAAAGTAACTATTGATATAGATACTTATTTGCGTCAATAATATGCGCAACTTGCGCTTCATAATGACATTGCGCTTGTTTGCGCAACGACCTAGTTAATAGGGATGATGATAGGGTATGTAAATTAAAAATCTAATTAGTCCGTCAGTTAGGTAATGAAGAAATATTAGACACGTATTATTTATTTTGTCGTATAATAAAATTATACTTAGATAAAACGAATCAATGTTTAGGAGTGGGAGTGCAAACGTCATTTCTACGTATAAAATGTACCCAGAAGTGACGTCACGCGATATTTCAAATCAATATATCGCCAGAAGTTTTGTTTGTTTTAAAACAATGTACCAGATGGACATTAATATAAAATTAGTCATACACCCTATTCTTTCTACTCTATAGTAACATTGTTTTAACTGACGTATTTCTTATTGCTCTTATTTCTCTTCTTTAAATTATTCAAAAGACGTTTAGTAAAAGAAAATCCGTACAATTGCAGGTAGAATTCGTTGGTGAAGAAGCGGAAGACGCAGGTGGTGTGAAAAAAGAATTCTTTCTATTGCTATTGAAAGAGATCTTTGACCCTGTGTACGGTATGTTCAAGCAATCAGAAGAAACAAATATGATCTGGTTCTCAAATAATCCATTTGAAGACGACGTCATGTACTATTTGATTGGTAAGTTGGCCTATGTAATAAAGAAATAGGAGAATTTCCAGTAACATTAGTTATTTCAATATAGAAAACTGTTGGAGTATTTTATCGTTGTGTCATTCATGGATGTCAAATTAATAATTATTCATTCTTCATGAATAAAATAACGACATTGACGTCACTAGGTTGCGTATTTAGTTATACTTTCATCTTAACATGATACCCATCAATACTTTGTCAAACTTCTTCGTTAACTGCGTGGTCATCGTGTACTCACTGACATTGAACATTCTGTTTGCAGGTGCCATTTATGGTCTCGCTATCTACAATTCTATAATAATCTATGTTCCGTTCCCGTTGGTGTTATACAAGAAGTTGTTGGAAGAAGTAGTGATGTTGGATGATCTATCAGACTTGTATCCTACTCTTGCAAATAGCCTTAAAAGTTTACTCGACTATCCTGACGAGGATGTGGAAGAGGTAAGATAACCATGTTGTTTACCTAATATATGCGATCCTTTGCTGAAATACATATTTAAACCACTTTTATTTTCACTGCCATATTGATTGGTTGCAGTGAATTAAAGATGAAACTATGTAAACCACTTACGTCAACCTTGTAGCGTCATCCGGTTGTAAATTTTTCTTGTTTATGTAAACAGGTATTTAGCTTATGTTTCGCGGTGAATACTGAAGTTTTCGGTCAGATAGAAGTGCACCCGTTGAAGGAAAACGGCGAGAACTTGCCCGTTACCCACGAGAATAAAGAGGAATACGTTGAACTATACGTAGATTTCTTGCTCAATAAGTCTGTTGAAAATCAATTCAAAGCATTCAATCAGGGATTTCAGAAGGTGAGACACAATGTATTATTTTTCTTTTTTCTTAGTTACTACGTTTGTTGCTAGAATATAACAGTTGTCATTTTTAAGTTCATTATTTTTATAATACATATTTATGTTCCTTGCTTTAATGAAATGTCGAATGTTTTTCGCAGGTTTGTGGCGGTAGAATTATCAAACTATTTAGGTCGCATGAAATGATGTCGGTCGTAATGGGTAACGAGGAATACGACTGGGAGATGTTTGAAAGCAACTGTGAATATAAAAATGGCTACACCGCTGCCGATCCTCAAATCAGGTAAGGTCCAATACGACATTAGTGTCTTACTAATATTTTTAACTAGTTATTCCCGACTATCTCATATAAATAGTGACTGTGCGAGATTAGCGCGTTCTACCTAGCAAATTCGTAAACTCTTCAACATTTTTATCCTAATTTGTAAGATGCGAAGATTTGTGAAACGACAAATGTATTATAAACCCTTTTTTATCTGTTTAGGTGGTTCTGGGAAACTTTCCACGAGCTTACGCTTGAAGATAAGAAGAAGTTCCTTTTGTTCTTGACTGGTAGTGATCGTGTTCCGATTCAGGGAATGAGAGATATTAAAGTGAGTATTTGCTTAAAAATATCTGAGTCACATTTGCATGTCGAGTAATTTGTTGCAAAAAGTCGGTCTCGAGAAAAACATCAAATGCCTAATAAATTAATCTATTTAATGTTAACAATGGGAAACATATCTTAACTCATTAATATGAATTCAAAGTTTTCACAAGTTAAATGAATACGACTTTGTTTCAGATAAGAATCCAAGCGGTAGCAGACGACAGGTACTTCCCAGTAGCTCACACTTGCTTCAACCTTCTAGATCTTCCACGCTATAAGACTAAAGAACGCCTCAAGTACCACTTAGTACAAGCAATTCAACAAACACAAGGGTTCTCACTTGTTTGATATCTATAGTATTTAGTCTATTGAACTTTACCATGATATCAGCTGTATACACACTGGGTATCAAGATTAAAGTTTTGCTGGCATTCGGTGTGTATACAGCTCAGCACTTTAGGATGGGACTTAGAGCGTAGTGATTGAGTTACAATTCTACTGCATCTGGAATATATTAAGTAACAAAAGAAATCGTCCAGCGAAGTGTGGAAGCGTTCGTTTAATTAATACGTAGTTATCAATCAGGGGAATAATATTGAAAAATGATGTGTAATAAGATTTTAATTGTGTGGTATTACAATTTCAATAAATAATTAATAATTTGACGAGCTAAGTAATGTGTTCCGACGTGGAACAGTCTGTGTGAGAATGTACGACTCATATTCGCGATTGCTATTTATGAAAAATTTTAAGTACATGTGTTCCGAAATCCAGGATTGTAGTTCGAGTCCATTATAATAATAATAAAATGACTTTAAAATGCAATAAAGATACGTTAACGAATTAGCGAATTCTGCTAATGTTTTATATTTTTAAGCAGTTAAAATATACTTTGGTTATATAAATTGTTTTAGTGACAGTTTTAGAGAATACACAGTGCCTTCAAAGAAAGTGAAACGCTATACCTGATATTTAAATATTTTATATTTAATAGTGTTAAATCAGTTATGCATTTTTATATACAAATGATTTAATTGTTAATTCCGATAAGACTATTAACATTTACGTTAATTCCGCAAAGCGTAATGTGATAACTGGAAGTGTTCTAATACACACTGCAATACCTAGTAATATGATAGAACAATTTATGTCGTGTCCAATTTATATTGCCGAAGTTAGACGAAGAATTGATTACACCAATCTAGTGTAGCAAACCTAGCACGCACTCACTAACCAAACACCGACGAATTATGTAAATCTTTAAGACTAACCTAATTTACTGATATCGTTAAAAAGTTTGTCCATTTTTTACGCGTGTATATAAAAGTATTTATCGTGGGAAGCTTGCGTAAGGAAGGTACATTAATGATTCTTTGAACGAAAACTCAAAAAGTCGCACTGACGCCTTACATAATAATATTCTTCATTACAAGCGTAATAACTCTCAAACAATTACATTAGAAAACAGGAAATAATAATTTAAATAATCCGTCAATTCTCCTTTAATTGATTCAAAGAGGTTTGTTGACCTAAATTATCAGAATTAAGGAGAAACGTTTTATAGTTACTTCGAGTCTTTTATTCATTGAAATTACACATTGAAGTGCGTACTAGGTTTGTTATTTTACAGTTTTAATGTTGCCAGTAGAAAACGGAAGCTATTTCAATCTAAGAAAATCCTTAGACGGTGTCAAAGACAATCGTTTAAGGATAAAGCTTATTACGTTAGAAACACGTAGCCGTAATGATATTGTACATAAACTGGCTACCTCTGTGATATTAAACTTATGCCATTGGTTAATTCGGCGACAATACAACGGCTTTTGTAATTGTTACTATTTTGTTATACTTGTACATGTTGTACATATTGGTACTGTACGTAGCTTGGCTAGATTGCTGTTATTATTTTGAAGCATTTATGGAGCACCTTTGTCTAGGTACTCGGCGTGGTTTGTACACGATGTATGTAATGTATGATAATATAATATTTTCATACGTATTTTTGTGGTTTTATTTTATTTTTTTAATACCATCTTGTAGACTTTTCTGTATGTACTATTTGTTCTGTGATAGTACTCTGATATTATATTGGATTACTACTAGTGATAAATAGTATTGTGTAAGGTTGCAACAGTTTATTTATTGTGTTGAATCACATACTGTTAACAGTATATGTATATTTTATGCTGGATTTTCAATGTATAAGTGCTAGAGGATAGAGAAGGGTCAACATTTAATTAAAATAAGAAGAACAAAGTGGCATTTAATATAATTTATTTAATTTAAAATATAATTACATAATGATATACCAAATCAATAAGGCCATTTAGATAACTTTTTATATACAAAATATTCGTATAATCTCTTCATGACTAGGTAGGTACAATAAGCTTAGCCAATTGTTAATGTTTACGTTGGCGGAAGCATTCAATTTATAAATATCCAATATTATAAACACATTCTGGGCTTAACTGCATCAAGTTTTTATAAATTAACTCGAGTTTAAAAATCTGTTTATAGCATTGGTAGTTGAGCATTATTTACAGTTACATTGTTAAGCAACTTCGGGTACGTTCGCAATGTATAAAGCCGCACTTTAGAAAACAATGAGGATGAAAGAAAATGAGACAATTTTTAGGCGATTTGTGAACATGATAATGTTACTTTTATATTTTTTATGAGTATATTTTACTTACATACTATATAATGGTTAAAATAAATTAATCCTACAATTAAGTACTGATTAAAATCCAATTCGTACATGCGACAAGACTTTAATACCTAAAGTCTATACAAGTACTCGAAATCCCGGCGTTTCCGCTTTTAGCGAATCAATTAAATTGATTGATGTTTACTTTGATGAGATGATATCTACTTTTGTTGACGTTACAAAATGCTGTCTTTAATTAAGGGCGAGTAGACACTAGACTCGGGCATGAGTGACGTCAACAAATTCTCATGTGAAAATTCACAGTTGAAGACTGATGTCAGACTAATATTCATTTCATGAGGGATGTAGTTAGTACTAAGATCTAATTTAGTATGAAGATCGGCCGGAGTGGTCCTCATAGTGTTGTGTGCCGGGTGGCGCGCGGTACCCTGGGTAGTTGTTGTTCAGGGCGTGCTGCGCGAAGAAAGAACCATAGTCCTTCTTTACCTGTAAACAGAGGCAACAACAAGATCGCTTTATTATTGGATACAAATGGTATCTGGAATTGTCTCGAGTAGTTTTTTCCGTAAAATAATATGAAAAATTCGAAAATAATCATAAAGTTTGGAAGTATTTAAACATATTTTCCAATTCAGTAATTTTGATCTTAAATTTAGTCATGCACCCTCTAATCTAAACTCATCTACATTGCAAAGCACTGCAACACAGAAGAAAAATGAATGTATTTGTGTAATGATTTAGTCCATTACGTGAATGTATGGTGGGATAGGTGTACGACTCTCAAGCTCATCTAGACTTAAATTCACTCATTTTGCACAGTACCTACCTATTTTAGAAAGAAGATCTATTTTACAATCAAATTTTTGAAAGGTTCACGTGTACTAATAATTGCTTCCAGTCATATTATTATGACTCCACAGGACACGCGGAACGTTACGACAACTTGACCATGGCAGTGGCAGGGTGCCTTTAGGCGTGTGATGCTACCAGCTGATGCGAACGCGTTACGCCGCTTTCGTACTATGTATTCGTATGCGCTTTCGAAGTTTACTTTTTGCCATGATTCACCAGTTATTTTTTGTTTTGAACATTTTATTACTTTGTAAAACTATTGTAGAAGGTACCAAGACATAACCAATTTACTTCGGGACGAAAACGATATAGATTTTACGGTGTATAAGAAATTAGACCTACGTTTAGTGTTTAAACAAGTTTCAAGTTTTTGCACTTAACATTATACAAACTGTCTAAACTATCAATAAAAATCACATGATCACTGAGTTCCTTAAAATTAAAAATCAGAGTCGTACACCTACATCTAGAAAGATATTGCAAAGCCTACTAAACGCGAGTTAGGTGCTCGCGACTAAACAGTACTAGGTTTGCCCTTTATCAAGTGCCGAGAACTGTTAATGGAAAGTTTGTCCAAACATATAGTTGCACTAGGAGTCAAACTGCACTTACAACTTAGGTATTAAAGTCCGGCTACATACGGACTTGGGTTGGGAATCGACGCCTACACCTCGTTCATTGCAACTAATTCGGCAAGCGAATATTGGCGCAGCTAAAACAGACAACGGTTTCCTTGAAAACTGTAAAGGTAACTACTGTTTATCGGTTCTCTATTATGTTCTAGAAACGTCTGTTTTAGGTTCAGTGGAAGTTTGGTGAAAGTAATTCTAAACATCGAAGTAAGTATACAAACGTTATAGTACCTACTTATCTCCCTGTAGTTGACGGCAATTCAGTAGGTACCTAATGTCAATTAAGAACTAAAAGTAAGTGGTGATTTTACGCCCAAACCTAATTGTGTGTAATATTATTGGATTATTTGATATATTTAGGTAACGGTCGTATATTTTTTTTTATTAAGGGTCAGGTTATTAAATTTTTTTGGTAGGCTTTGTAATAATTATTCGTGGAACGCAAAAATATTTAGGTAATAAAAAGTGGGTAGGTGAAAAATATACAATGAGTTTAAACAATAATAAGTATTAAATACATAATAATAAGAATATGAGAACACATATCTATATACACATATATGATTTATGAAGTATGAACCAAATATAAGGAGACGCGTTATCTTGTATTGTGGCTGGGGAATAACTTGTAAGTTTTGAAAAGGCAATTGCATAAAAATACAATAAGTATTTTGAATCTTATATACAGCATGCGTAGGTAGATACTTGTTATTTTCAGCATTTATTTAGGTATATTTTTAGCGATTGAGGAGTAGGTATTAGGGGCAGCTCACACGGTGATAGAAAGGTATATCTTCAATGAGTACACTCCTGAAATTTCAGCGTAAAATTGGTAACATAAATTTGGTATATATAATACAATAAGTAGGTAGGTACTTACGTAATTATAATAAACAGTTTAAATACATAGATAATAATATTTTTTTAAAAATTTCCCAAAATTCCCTACTTATGTGCAGGCAATAAACTTTATAAAGTATTATACCTTGCGAGGTCTGCAAGCAGGTCCCCTTGCCAGCTGTCTTCTGGCTTCATTCTCAGCGGCTACTGCCTCCTTCACGGACTGTGGTGGCCACTTCTGATCCCCACGCATGTTGGAGCCTCCTGGAGATTTTATAATCTCAATGAAATTTTTTTATTTTATTTATTTAGGATGACCAACAAAGATACATTGAATAAAGAGCTAAAATTGAATCTTTAATTATACGTAACCACGGATTACACAATTTTGCGAGAAAATGATAAAAAAACATTATACATATTAAATACATAGTACTTTAAACTATCTATAAATAATAATTATAATGAATAAAGTTAGCATAATTAAAAGAATAAAACAATTAATAAAAAGGGTTTGAAAAGAATCTTTAGGTGTCTAGATACCTAGCACTAATTAGGTTAACATTATTAATTAGGTAATGTCGAGAACATTTACTATGTTGTTGCAAAATTGCCAAAGTAGGTACTCATCGTTGGCAGTGTATCGCATTCGTAAACACAATTTTGTCATTTAGTTTACAAGTCACAACTGTTCCTGTCGATCCTCTTGGTCACCTTTTAAAACAATGTTATTGTTTTATTTATAAACTTAAATGCGGAATGAAATTTGGCTTCAGTCGCAAATTGCTGAGCTTTTGAGCGCGCGACACCCCTAGAGTATTTGTGCCGAGACGACGACGCATATAGGGTTAGTTAGACATCCATCAGTTTGCTAGTGCACAGCTTAGCTTTTAGGAAGTCGAGTGTCGAAGGATTTCCTCAATGCCTCTCCATAGATTTGCAATTACGAACTTCCTTCATAGCGCATTATCATTCGATAACTCTAGGGATACCGTATCGTCTAAAATGCTGGTATCTAATGCGGCAACTAGGAACTATTGGTGTAATTAAGTAATTGAAATTCAATAGTACGTCCTATAATAAAGTACGTCCTTCCGGTCCTATCAGTTTTATCTATTAAACGAAGCCCATTCGTTAATAGATAATGAATATTGAATTGGTTTCTATGTATTTAAAAAATATACCTTGGTGCACAAAATATATGTGTATGTACCTGCCCAGTTAAGTAATTTTTCTGAAGCACAAAAAGCTCTCTCACAAACAGCATTGTTTGTTACGTGTCCCGACATATTATGTTTGCACAGGTGTCTTCAAAGAAGTGAAGATATGCGCTTTAGTATTGCCATTGAGTTAAATAAAAATTAAATGTTCTCAGTTCTCACCAGCTTGTGCTAAAACATAATTCGCTCCAATGTTTGAACGAGCGAGACTTTCATTTTAACAGCAATAAATGGGTTCTGTGTAATAAATTTTACTAAGAGAATAAGGAAATAAACAACCACCTACTCGTGCTGAGTTATGGTACCCACGCTACGCTGAAAATTTGTAAAAAGTTTAAAATGATCTCTCGTAAATATGTGAATGCGGAAGTCACCTTGATAAGAAGCTGTGGCGGGTTGACTAGGGAAAACCGGAGGAGGTTTCTGGTGGACTGGTTGTTGTTGACGAAGAGTGATCGTCGCTGGTGGGGGCTCGTAGTTCTTCTGTGGAGCCTGGTACTGGGGCTCCGAGTACGACGGACTGACGGAGGAGTACTGAGGCTGTGGCGAGTACTGGCTCGGCGATAACTGTGGCTGCGACGGGTACCCCGGCTGCGATCCTTGAGTCTGTCCACAACAATACTAATGAAGAACATACCAAAGATGACAACGTCGCTGTTAATTAGATAGCAAGTAGATTATCACATGGTGTACTACTTACTAACTTTGTACAAGTGAGAAGTAACTAAAATAACACTGCATTATCCATATTGCAAATTAATCGATTGCCATAAATAAAAAATTTGCAAAGTTGCTAAGTGTTATAAAAATATCACTCTGTATTAATCTTAGTTTCTATACTAGAAAGTTGATATCCCACAGACAAAGGCAAAGCATTCATTACACAATAGCGATCCGCACATACAACTACTTACCTAGACAATGTTAGTACAATGAAAACGTGCAAGTCAGTTATAATGAACACTAAAAGTAAATTCTACTCGACGACGTTGACGTTCCAACTTCATTGTGGCCTAATACCTGAGGGGAAAGAGGGGCTGGTACTGGTGCCCAGCGGCTTTGTCCGGGGCGATAGGGCTGCGCGACGCCTGGTGACGGTGGGCCTGGCCGGTAGGAAGCAGGGGATGCGGTAACGCCTGGACCGACGGGAATCAGCTTACTCAGCCCTGTGGCTTCCTGTCGTCGGCCTTCACAGAACGAAGGATCCGATTCGGGAGCTTGCTGTTGGTACTGAGGCTGTTGTTGGTATTGGGGTTGTTGATACTGGGGTTGAGGTTGGTACTGGGATTGGGGTTGTTGGTACTGGGGTTGCTGATACTGGGGTTGTTGGTATTGGGGTTGCTGATATTGGGGTTGCTGATATTGGGGCTGTTGTTGGTATTGTGGTTGTTGTTGGTACTGTGGTTGTTGTTGGGGCTGGTACTGAGGCTGTGGAGAAGCTGGGGATTGCTGCGCGTTGTTGTAGAACGCAGGTGACTGTTGCTGTTGGGATTTATAATGTAGCTTATAATACATATCGAAATACTGTAGTAATAGCTTGGTTTTGCATGCAATTATTGTTGCTCTGCCACCGTAAAGCGCATGTATGCTATGTGCAGCTGTGATGTCATTGCATCTAAATCAATCCCTATATACATGTAATTTTGTCATATCTATGTGATGCCTGTTATATTGAGTGCATTATTTACCTGTGGTGTTTGATGATATCCGTTCGTTTCGGGCACAGGTGGCCACACTACTTTCTTCTGGCCTGTAACAATGCAAGAAATTCGAGTTATTTTTTGATTAGCTTTTGCTACGTGCCAGAGATTATTTTCGATTTTAAAAATACGTGTTTCTTGGAATTTGTGTAATCAAGACGTACAATCTCAATCGTCGGGTGATATGATCTGGAGACCATGAGACACAGTGTTGAACACTACGACGCTTATTATGACACATCTCTCTTTAAATTAGCGCGACCCACCAAGCAGTTGGAAATGCGCCAGAGCATCGAAAAAACACATTTCTAGAATATAAGTTCGTTTTATTGTAGGCGAACAAAGATTTATGATTCGACGCGGATATTCCGGGAGTGTGTAACTATTTGCTCTAATCCGTAAAGATTTGGATACCCTATTAACGATTTGTTAGCACTATCTAAATAAATGTAAGTGTTTCTAGAAATGTCTGAAAAATGTGTAGGTGCAATAGTTACAGTAAACAGATGTTAAAACAAATTCCAGAGAGTAAAATAAACTGGAACTCGGCCTTGCATTTGTCTATGCGTATAAAATCGTTACCTATTTAATTACCTACCCACTTACTGCACGGCTCACGGCTAATTTACGAAAATGTTTTCAATGAGATTTTAAACAATTAGAAATAGAATCTGGAGTGTAGGCAGGATTCGAAGATTAAAATTCACTAAAGTAAGATGATACCTAGTAATTTTTTTTTGGAATTATAGGGCTAAACTCTTGATTTTAATATGCGATCAACAGCATGGACATCCGCAACACTGAAGAGGTTACAAGTGGTTTACCGGCCTTAAATTCAATATCTAGCTAATTAGGGGTATGAGTTTACCAAAATAAATAAAGCACTGAATTTAAAATGATAGAGACTAACAATGATAAGCTAAATGAGTGGGAATTAGTATTTAAGTTGGGCAATTTCCAAAAAGCTAGAATAAAAGGTTTGGAGATGGTGTATCAAAATTAGAATAATTGTGATTAAATTTCTGTTGGTAAAGGGTATATCCTACACAGCTGATCAGAGATACCTACCTATCGGACCAGGAAGAAGTATGAATCAGTAATAAGGAAAAAAAAAACACGGATTCGGGTGGACCAGACTCGCAAATTAGTGCCGTAAAGTTGTTTAAGGTTTGATTAGGAGTCAGGACTCCAAACAAGTTCCAAGGTACTTGGTGTTCTAAGTGTTACCGAACATTGTTCTCAACTTCAAACCGCAATGTGTCGATGTACCCTACAACCTATTGAGTTTCAATTTACTTCGTGTTGAGGAAACCACCTTAACAATGTTCAACTGTACCGAACTGGGAAGTTCTGCCAAAACAAACTTCTGTTTATATCCTACTCCATATTGTATTGAGTTTCACTTACCCCAAAGGGTAAATATTGCTTATCACTACTGCACCAATGGAACTGAAGCTGTGTTGTTTAGATCTGACTTGAATTGACTAAAGAAAAAAAATCTTAATCAAATCAAACTGGCTCAAGACTACGAAAGTGCACTTTATAAAATTCAAATGAAGCAATAAAAAAATAAAAATGTTAAAACAAAATAAATGAATGAAGAAGCTTCACTAGTAGTAGTAGAAGATATAAAGTGATAAATAATAGAGGAACTCACGATTAAATTAATCAATTTGTTAAGTACGTGAGACGCGGCAACCGCCGGCGGGCCGGTGAGCACTACGTTTGACTAGTTGGCTGGCCAGCAGGTGCGACGAGCGCAAATATCTGCCGCATATTATATTTTGAGAACGCACATTTTTAGGACACACATTCGCCAACTCTCTCACGCCTGTTGATACCGATACCCGAAAAATGAACACACCTACTTAAATCTATGACCTAGACTTCCAGCACCCACCCGAACACCTAGGTAATAATAATTTATAGATGTTGAAATGGAAGCATAAAGCCATTAGCTACGTACATTACAATGAGATCGTAAATTTTAACGAAATGGCAAGACGGAAAATGTATTTCACTTCTTGCGAAACTTATATAGCAACAGGAATGAGGAATGTTGCCCATATACGTGCATCATATATTATAGGTACATAAAAATTAGGTACAAGAGTTTAATGTGGGGAAAATTGGCACCTAGGCAATTAGTACAGCAATCTGATCCATCAGGGATTATGGGACATAGTTGCAATTATCTCATTCATTGGGCCATGAGTTGCACATAAATTACAAACGGTCCACATAACCAATCGTCGCCGACGGCTACTTGCAAGTTATTAACTTGTTAGAGTGGTTTAGAGGACTCCAGCGTCACTTGACTGGTCTGAGAAGGACGGGCAGGTTGGCTATTAGGTACATAGAATATGTTTTAAACTCCTGTAAAAGCTACTGGACAAAGTTTAAATAACTACGTAAACATACCGATTAAACAATCTTTAAAGTTTTGTATTATGATCTCAATATCAAAAGCAACTGTGGCAAACATATTGCCAATAAGTAAAGAAGTCTAAATAAAAACCACTAGCTCCCAGAATAGTGCACACCTGGAGAAAACGTAGGAACTATGATACTTATATTGTGCGTCGTTTGCAACTTTTCGGCACCTGCTTTAAAATAAACTCTGATTCATGAGCCTACAGAGATCTACAGTCCTAGAAATAGTCCACTTGACGTCAAACAACGCTTTTATAGATTTTAATCCTGGAATCAAGGTCAATATTTGATAATAAACACGGAAAACTCGGAATCTTTATACATTGGTCTTTTGGTGTCTGGTGGTATAATTTAAAATCACGGTTGTAACTGTCTTCAAAGAATTAATTCTTCAAACCACAACAAATAGCTTTCATAGTTTATAGCGTTGTAATTACAGTTCCGTTCTCTTTTGATATAATTATTGACATTTGATTCTAGAAACAGATTCTAGAGCTCCTCCTATTTATAACGGATGTATGCAAGCTTCCATAATCATCTTAATTACCTCCTCATGGCGTATCTATGTGTCAGCAATTTTTTTACTCTTGCGTACAGTAGCATATATAACACAAACATAATTATGAATTGAGAACGAATTATAATATTATAACAAGGAATATAATATTTCAATAAGCTTGGATGTTAAGTAAACTATACATTTGAAATCTCTTTTCTTACGTCGCTTTCAAACATAAAGTTAAGTTAAACAGACAAATGTAAACGGCGCTGAATAGGCACTTGCAGGGTGCGTGTACACTTGAACAATCCAATCAATAAAACAAACAAAATGAACACTTTACCTACAAACACTGTTTCAGACATTTCTTCCGTTTGTGTCCTTCCGTTGTCGACTGTGCACTAATACTAAATACAACAGGTAAAAGCACATTATGGAGAGCTTCCAAGCCTTGCCAAATACTTTCCACTAATGAATGTTTTCTCATCATTTGTGGGCGGTTTTAGTCAATACAATGACGAGTTTAACGACTGACGACTTGGAAAGATAGGACAATACACTCTACCACATCATGTTTCATTCATTATATCGGGATCAATGAATCATTCGAGTGTCATAGCGTCATATAACGTCTGGTAGCCGAGGGTTTCCTGTTGAACCAGTTAATTGTGTAGTATTAGTAGAACGGCTTCTCTGCGTGAGTTCAACTCTAATTACGGATAGCTGGATGCATCGTGATCGAAACATTGTTAATCACAAAATACAAAGAAGACTCGATATGATCCTTGCGCTACGCTAATACGCACTTTAAGACATTGTTTTATATATAACATAAAATGTATGAATCTAAATCTTGTCGTGATTATAGACTACATGAGTTGATTGACCGGGAGCGATTAATGAACTGTGCTATAAATGAAATATTATGTACAGAACAGACAAAGCTGCGTCTATTCTACCAGGCTGCGCTGGTACCTTTAGTGGCCTTCAAGAACTCTGAATATACATTCCCGGTGGCGTTGAGCTGACCGTCCCAGCTTCGAGCTGATCGCATCCTCGATCTATCAGGAGGCCAGTAGTTGTCAAACGGATGGCTCATGTGAACCATGTTCTTCTTGATAGCCCACACTTGGCTTGGGTCTAAGTCTGATAAAGCAGGGGAAAACATTAGTGGATTAGTAAGCTTAGACAGTTCTAATTAAACTGTGCAGAGGAGACATAGCGGAGATCGTTGTTCATGTCTGTTCGAATTGAAGCATTTCTGAAATTAATATTTAGAAGGTTTTTGGGCAATTTTAAAATATTGTCAGAAATGTTGAGCTCATTGTGTAGTTAAAGTTAAAGTTAGCTAGTATTTTATACACCTCTGTACTCACACATCCTGTGCATGAAAATATGATAAGCAGCAGGTGTGGCTAGATGAAATTAAATTTAGCTTGAGTAGTTTCTAAGACAGGCGCATCTTAGAGAAGGTGCGAAGTACCTACATCAGTTAATTACTTAATCAACCGTTTACTTAATTTTTCTTTTGTAGTTTTTAATTTAAATATGTTTCGGTTTTTTTATTTAGTTAGTTTCATTTTTCGTTGGGTAGTTAACGTTGAATGTAGTTTCGGAGAAGATGAGTGTTGCACATTATCGTTATTCCAAAATTCACTTTTGTTTCACCTCTCTTCACCGAGTAGACTGATACACAAACTTTAATTATCCTAATACCATATAAAAAAGAATAGTTACTTCTTTTTTCCACAATGCAATAAAACTTTCCAGATTTTTTCTATCATTTCATTTTAACTCCGAAAGCGTTTGGTCGGAGAAATCTCATTTATCTCATTTATTGTGCAAGCAGTTATCCGTGTAAGGGTTAGACAAAGTTTAAGTAAAGCAGGGTACTTACTAGGGCGTCCTCCTCTACGATTGCGTTCTTCTTCTTCAAGCATGCGCAAAACGGCAGAGTTTGCCAAGTTCGCGGGCTTGTCTGTGATCGGGTCGTTGAAGTCAATCCTGTAACAAAAATGAAATAACGATTAAAATTTTGACATTATAATGTAAGCAAGACAGAGGTCTTGTCCATAGAGATGGGTACTGAATTCAAATGTATTCGTATAACGCAAAGTAGGTAAATACATAGTCTTTAAGTAGGTACTAGTACTAACGTTTAAGAGTTGTAGTTGTAGTAGAAACCATTGAACCATTGAGCCTTGAATTGTGGAAACAATTATCTGATCCAGAATGGTTTCTATTTCTTATAATAATGTTTAAAGTAAAAAATCTAAAATAGCCAAATATTTTAACTCGTATTTTACAGGCTTAAAAAAAGAGTTTAATGTAACATAAGGAATTGTACTAAATTTATAGTACGAGGGTAATTCGTGGCTCCAATAACAACAGAGGTGTGTATGTGTACTCATATGACCAAACGCTTTGATTAGTCTCACCCTCGCGGAAGTAAATAATTAACACGCTGTACATTATTTTACTCAAATACATATTGTATCATTTTGTATACTGTCTTGTCTAATTAGCTTTGTTCTTGTTTGTTTATGAGACTTGAACTTGGCATAGTGCACTTCAGTACAATTAACTACGCATTTTCTAATTACCTATTATTAAAGTTAATGCAGCTGTTTTATGGGTGCAGGTCATTTTTAACAGGCTGGTCTGGATGTCTTTAGGCGAGGCCTATGTTGAGCAGTGAGTCTTGTAGCTTGCGGTTAATGTGATTATAATGATGTATAATTGATTTAACTTAGATGATTTATAAACAAGTGTGAATTAGTCTTTGTGTGTCGTGTGTCTATCATTTAAGAAATCTAATTAGTAGATGTAACGTTGGTCCACGATTTTTCATTAAATAATTACTGAATTTGTGCCAAGAAGAGTAGTTACAAATTAGGTATAAGAGTCGGTAGTTAGTACGTGTGTATGGATTTTAAGATACAAGTAGGTACCTAATCTAATATTATAACCTAATATGTGTGTAACAAAGCAAATCAAATTAAACGTAATAGTTACCAAAAATAATTACTCAAAATAAGGATTTTTCAGTAATCCACGCATATATCGCTTTATATTTTCATTCGAAATACTTAGGTACCTTTTTGAAAGTGTCGGCAAAATAAAATATTTAATAAATACGCAATACATATATTTTATGACAAAGAATATAAAAAAGTTTGGACGTCATAGAATGTTTGCTTTCCGGCCCGTTATTTTATTTGTGGAGACATTTGGCCTAGACATGGCATAGGCTGAGACGTCTACGAATAAAAAATCTGAAAAATAGTGTCATGTTTCTATATCATCATAATCACCAACAGCCTATAAGTGGCTACTACCGGCCAAAGGCCTCGCATGGAGAAGCTTTGAGCATTAATTACCACGCTTGCTCAATGCGGGTTGGCGATTTTAAACTTATAATTAGAAATTATAAGCCCAGGTTTCCTCTCGATGTTTACCTTCACCGTTTGTCAGTGGTGTCTAGATAATCTTAGAAAGTAATTATAAGTTGGAAAAAGTCACATTGGTACTTGCCGTTGGTAAGTTTTGAACCCGCACTCTCATGCGTGAGAAGCGGGCGTCGCCGGGCCACCACGACATTCATTACTTGGTACTATGTAGTTTTATACAATAATAGAATACAGGACGAAATCACAAAATAATTACTGAATGCCCTACTATAATTCACAAAGGGCTAGTAGTTTGATAGTTTCAACTATACGTTGTTAGTCAGTCATTAAGTCATCAATACAGTCAATGAGTTGATTATCTACACATTTTCGACTAAAATTATTAAAGAGCACTTGTGAAGTCGATGTTCTCTATTCGATTCGGTTCGGTTCGCCGCAGGTTTATCCCTAAGAATTACATAGGATTTACAACGAAAACATGAAGAGGGTATATTATGTGCCTATTTAAATTTAAATAAAGGGCGTAATATGTAGTATTTTTATTTCCTTAATAGATTTTAGTCTGTAGTAAAAGCAATAAAGTAGAAATCGATCAAAGTAATTTGTCATGTTTATGTTTTCCTTTAGCAAATAATAGATAAAGCCATTTTTTATCTATAACTCATCGTCTACGACTTCCCGAATTCCTGTTTTTCACTTGCCCATGGGAAATTCTTTCTCAGTGCACTTACGGAACTGAGGAACACATGAATCCAGTATTTTTATGATTTTCCTAGGATCAATAAATCAGACATGTATATCTTCCGTTTATATGTATAGAACTACGTATCTATGGTAACATTACTATTACTTACTAGATTGCGTAGGTGGTAATATAATTTTTACACTAAAAATGTTATTGTTATAAATTATTTAAAAGTAACTATAACTTTTAATTACCTACGCGTTATAGACAAATTAAAACCTAGTTGTTACCGAATTAGGAGTAGTTTTAGAGTAGTAGAGCTAGGTTCTTAATTCTTTAAAATTGTTGATTAGTTTGATACATTTTTCTTCTATAATTGTTTAATGTAAATGCAAATAGGCCCCATTTATGATCTGTTAATATATGTATATAGAATGCTTAACGTAAGTAAATACTAATACTTACTGAATATAATTGTTACAACTCTGCATATACATTGAGATTTGACCTTATCTACTTGTAGGTGTTCGTTCAACCGTTGAGCACCTATGACATTACTAACGTTATGCAACGATTACTTATGTACTAACTATACTACTAGGAACCAGGTAGGTAACAATTGTTTATCAAACTCTTTATATGGGATATTATTTTACGACCTGCGTAAATCATATTACAATACAGTGATGTATAAAGATCAATGATACTATAAAAATACGATATTCTATTCTTATACTTCTTTGACAGTAGCTAGAGTTGTCTTAATTATCAATGAAAGTTTAAATAAAAGAATCCTGTATAACGCTAAGTAAATTGGACTTTAGGTACTTAGCGTAATTTAGGAGCACTACACACATAGTTTAGGTAACACATTAATAACTTCAAAATATCTCAAAACTTTATTCACAAAGGATTTATAAAGTTTTTTATTAAAATTTCAAAGACAAACCTATACAGAAACTGATTGACAACACTATTTATCATAGAACATTAAAACGAAATTAAACGACATTAATTTCCTCCGAATTCGAAAATTGTTGAGCGACTTTCACTCACTTTCAAACTAAATCGATTGTCACTGCCATTCGGAAAGTCATGTAAAAACATTAACATCGTTTTAGAATCACAGGAAACTACGTGGGAACTGATTCGAACCGACACAAGAACTATTGTGACAAAGCGCTAACTCTACCATGATTGTGTTACTAAGTTTTTTTTTTAAATAATATATAGAATTTCTCCACGGACTCGTGTCCGTGCCCTGGTCATATTACAAGTACCTACATAATTTTCATGGTCAAATATTTTTTTTATTGAGATCTTACATGCTACGCCTACCACTATCACTACACACAATACTTTATGTTGTTACCTAATTATTATAGTCTTATTATCTTAGACTAACCCTACTGGATCAGCCCACCAGCACGATGAGCGAGCCGACCTGTTCCAGCAGAAGGCACCCGTTCACGGGTATGACGTGTAGGCCAGCAATCGGTCCGATCAACCATTTCGTAGGGAACGGAACGACCCAGCCCACAGCGTGTGTTACTAAGTTAGGTTGATGAAACAACCGTAAAGTCTGTACTAGGAGCCTAATAAGTGAGTTACTTACTTGGTGCCTAATTCATATTGTCCTAAAAGGAATACCTACTTAAATAAAACTTTACGTGTGTAAAATGAGTTCTTGCTCTATAAGTTAACCTAACATAATGGTTTACGGTTTGAATTCATTTATTTCTAAAAGATTACAAATCACTTGTACAGAAATAAATACTTAAACTAATTTTACAGTTTTTGATTTGTCCAGGAGCAACAAGAGGTTGTAATAGCGGTCACAATTTTATGATTTTAACATTAACATAATAATTTATTACGACAAAGTAAGCAAGTTTATATGGAGGTATTCGTTAAAATATTTAATGACACATATTTCACGGCCTACCGCCGTGTGCTGCATTGATGCGGCCCTCTGTGCGGTTCATTTGCAGGATCGGCTCACACTAGGCGAAAACCATTATAACATTGTTGACGAATCATCATAATTCTTATA